ATGACCCTATTCGAAGTCTACAAGTTGCGTGTTTGGGAAGGAAACAGACAGTAAGGACTGTATTACCCCTAAACTTTAAATATTTACGTAACTTGCCTTTGAAAATCTGTAATGTAGACGACAACCTAATTTCGAGTGGAATATTATTCCAAATGGAAGCATATTTGGGGGCAAAAAAACTAGAAGGGTTAGATGCCGAACTAATGCGTGGTGAAATTATCAGGGAGGAGTTACGAGTAGCATAAGGTCGGTTAGCCGAAGCGAGAGCGTTAATTTGTGGGAGATTATGGCTATCGTTAACGCGAAACAGGAAGCATATACCGGCTTTGAATCTTCCTACCCACAGAAATTTAATGTTCACAAACTGAGATCTACGGGTCTAAAAGAAATGAGTAATTAAATTTCAGGGAGATGGACGTAACAGCTACTGCAAGTAAGATATGCAGGCCGCGTAGAAGAATAGTCGGTATGTTATATGGCTCAATCACTGAAGTTCGACAAGTGAGAAGTTTAAGATCGCTGGCAAGGGGGAAGAAGACAACTTTGGTGTTTCGAATACGTTGCGTCCTCTGAATCTGAATGTAGTAGTAACAACTTCGTCAAATTCCAATGCTAAGAGCAATCAGTGTAGTACGGTACTCTTAAACATTTAGTGAAGAAAAAACGAGGTCCAACGAACGATTAACCATGGATACACGCAGTCAAGAGCAAGGGAGTCGGCCAAAGGTCGCCTGACCCTAAATAAATGAACGACGCACGCCCAATAGCGCCACACGTGTGAAGGTCGAAGCCAGGCTTGGAAGTGTGCATGGTTGGAGAGGCGACGACCACTGCTATTATGTGACTTTTGAGCCAGTTCAGTAGGCGTCCGATTGATTGAAACGTTGCCCGGAAAGGATGTCGTGTATTAAGGTCCATAATGCATCAGCAGATGCGGAAACTGGATCAAGGGTGCTCAGGTCAGCCAGGCGCAAAAGCTGCCAATGTAGATACTTTTCCTGAAAGAGGGGAGGGGGACGACGTGTTCAAGTGACACTTTTACAGCTGGAACAGTTTTGGGCACGCGTGTC